CGGGTATATCCGGCAGCCCCTACCGACAACCTCTTATTTGGACGCGGGACTGCATCTAAAAAAGATCGCACTCCACTTTGGAGTTTCCGGTTGGCTCAGCTTATCTTGTATCGTCTGCAGTAGAAAGGCGTGGTGGCGACAGCGAGGCGGCGGCGCCGCACGACGGTTTTGCTCAGTACTGACGGCGTGGCAAGCGGCAGTGAGTGTCAGGCGTTGGCGCGAGGGCAGGGCCGACAGGATCGAGTCCCACCCCGCAGACAGAGATATGTCGCCGCCGCGCCGGTCGTCGTCACGTCCATGTCTGGATTGACTCGTCAGCGCGCCGGAGCTGGCGCCGCGACCGTGTCAGACAGGACGCGGTCGTGTCTCATGCATGCGTCGCCGCTCTGACGAAACGACGGCACGGAGCGACGTCACAAAGGCATGGCACCGGCGCGGCGGGCCTCGAGAGGTCAGTGGAGGGCGACAGCGTCATGAGATGTGGGTGTTACTCTGATCCACCAAGGATCCACAGGTAGCTAAAACATCAAGCAGCGATTTTCTCAGTTCCCACTACTATATACCTCGAGTGCCAAACAAATAGCGCTGTGGATGGTAAAACTTGAAGGACAAGAATGTTGCATGAGACATGAACAGTAAAATACCAAACAACACCCAGCCAATCCACACAATAAGTCACGCCATGAAACCTAATGACACCAAGCACCCAGATCACTTTCCTGTTCCATTGGGGCCGTGTTTCCAGTCGGTCGCTCGGGTGTCTCTGGTGGGGTAGTTTACCGGGGCGGTCCGGCGGACTGGATGACCGCGGCTGATGGACCGCCCCCATCAGTCGTCCTAAAAGGGTGTCGGCTGTCTGCCAGTCGGTGACAAATTCGCTGGCCGCGGCAGAGCGGCACCCATCGGCCCGGCACGCGCGGCATGCGACCGGCCCGGCCGGCGGCGGCGACACCGGGTCGGCTATCAGATACACCGCTCAAATGGACCCTAATTAAATAACGGCCGTGATTAATGTGATGGTTCGAACTGGTTATCCATCGACCGGTTCGGCGGTGAGTGCCCGACGGTCGCGGAGACGGCGTCACGGCCGCCTGTCCGTGGGATATAGCGGCGACTGCAGCGAGACACGCCACATACCTAGTTACTTTTTAGCGATTTACTTACTTAGCGAACTTTCTTACTTTAAACGTTATCTGAGCTACGTTGCTTACCCGACTCATCACTTGTTCGCAGTACATTATCATTGATGCAGTCGAATACCGTAAATATCAAGGTATGCGTAACATTGTCGGAGGGACCAATATGTTTTTATTCGTCGCATAGCCTACTGTCACCATAAGTGTCCCGACTCGGCTAACTATTTCCTCGGCCCTCGCCTCCACCTACCGTCACCACCGAAAAACGCCAACAGGAAAGATGCAACAAAAATGCCCGGTGATGGCACTGAGCGCCTTTTTGTCGTTTTGCCAGCTCCTAAACGGGTGAATAAAAATCCGGCCGAGGTACTCCCCGGGTTAGTGTTAGACCGCTGTGGATAGCGCCAGTGGATCACTGTCGGACGAGGAAATAACACGGTGGCCGAGGCCCGGCGACATGCATGCTACACGACACGGGGGCTCGTTTACCGGACGGAGCTCGGTGGGTTTCTCGGTAGTCAGGTACCCACATCCTAACACTCGCCCGGACTCGCCCCGCCAGCCCCTGTCGTGCGGTGGGCGATGTAGCAGCTTAGTTCCGCCACATCGGCAGCTGTCGGCAGCTGGGTTTACGCATGTTCTCCCTCCCCAGTTGCCAATGAACGTGCGTTGGACGATGTCGGGCACAACGGCAGTCGTGGAACTTGACGTTCGTTTGTTCTCCCGTGTATTTCGCTACTCTCAGTCTCGTCAGGTCGTGCCGCTGCCATGTCTCCAATCCCGTCTTCCGCTGTTAACCCGCACTTTCCCATCCAGCCAAAAGCAAAGTCGCGCCTCACGGTTGTCGGGCCTGTAAACATGTTAATGACTAGAGTTGACCGTGTCTTCAGCGGCGTCCTCACCCGGCACGCCGACACGCGATACAGATATACACCGGGAGGGTGGGTCGGCGTTCACAGGGGCACCAGACGGCCGCTCCGTCGGCACGGCACGGACGGCACGCCGGGCCGGCACGGACTCGACGAGCCGTGCCGTGCCGCGCTGCTGATAAACAGCACGTCAACGGGCGCCGGCACCGACCACGGACACAGGCACACCAGCACCGACTCCGCGGCGGCAGGAACGATGGAACCGACTCCGACGGCAGGCATGCACCGGCACAGCTCAGGAACAGAAGGGCAAGGATCTCGAGACATTTAGAGTGGGGGAGTTTTACATAAAACATGACAGGCCGGCCGCCGGTATTGGAATTAGGATCACTGTTAGGATCCGAAAAATATACGAACCATATAGAGACGATAGACGTATCTACATAACATACATGATGCTGGCTAATAGCATGACCGAATGAAATAAATGACAAGTTCACACGATGTTACATCACGCATGGAAACAAACATCATGTCATACGGCTCATGCACGACGGACCCAAGCTTTTAGTATAAGACAATATCTATCTACAAATAAAACGGCTGGGTGCACACGATAACTACCATTGCAAATCACTTCTCCGCTGCAAGGCAGCCCGAACTCCGCATATTGCCGGGTTTATAATCGAGATAGCACGGTAGCGGGTGGCGTGCCGTGTAAAACGTGCGCACCAGCCATCGACGGCCACCGCTGATGCAGGCTGGCACGGCTCGGGCGCGAGCAACAACGCACACGACATAGTGCCAGTCACGGACAGCCCAGGGTCAGATACGAGTCAGGAACATTACGAACAGAGGACACAGCTCTGGGAATAGGATATTTCGGTGTCGGACACCAGACAATAGACGGCACAACTCCGGATACGATGGACACTGGAAAGGCTACAATCCAGCTCTAACATAGTTAGTACGGATCCGGATAGCTCAGCTCCGGACAACGACAATTACGAGCATGACAACTCCGGACAGCGGACAACACAATTCCAGAAACAGCGGACAACGCAGATCCGGATGGCTGAGCTCCGGAGTCCGGACAACACAGGTCCTGAAAGATCAGCTGCGGAACGCTCGGCTCGGGATAGCTCGGCTTCGAACAGACAGCTCAGTCCCGTCGGTACTACTCGGAACAGAGCGGCCCAGACTGCGTGGAACGCCGCTCCGACCAGCCGCCGCTCTGTAGGCCCATATTCGGCGACAGGCGGTAAACGAGAACCGCTGTACTCTGGCGCTCTCCGAATGTCGGGGCGGCTCGACGGCGTGTCCCCACCGGAGCTTCACACAGGCCGCTCAGCCCACAGCCGCCGCCAGCGACTCTAATGGAATACGACATTTCGCCGTCATAGTCCGCCAATTCGGATGATTGATTGCCGGAATAAAGCCGACGGCATCCACAATGCACATTGCCGAGTGACATTATTCTTAGACAGCCGTTACCTGTTGCAGCTATAGCGTGCATGTTTGCAGCGACTGAGATCTCCCACCGCCTCCGATCGGCTTGTCGTACCCAATTCCTCCATTATAACGTTAATGGATTGGGTGTGCTCACGATACGCAGTCGTTGCGACACAGCAATGTCAGAGTCTGAGTGCAGTTCACTAGGAGAGTGCCACTTTTTCTGAGGGTGACCGGACTGCACGCAGCGACCAGGGCGTGGCCGCCTGTCCAGTCAGAACTGTCACGGGCTACACTATGCTGGCAAGGTTTTGTTACCATTCTCTAATAACACTGAGAATAGCACAGGTGGGATTCAATCGATCAAATGCAATGCCACATATGATGCAGCGTTCGCGGAATGACTTGCCACACCGGGTGTTGTTTGAAGACGTGACGCAGGGATGCCCAGGACGTAAACGCACGCAGTGACGTCTCAAAACGTGACGTGGTGACGCTCAGGACGTGACGTGGTCGCGAGGACACGCTGAGAATGGGACTTCCGCTACGAACCTGTGAAATCGAGCAGTTTATTAGGTTTAGAAGGCTAAAACACTGTACGCAGTGCACAACAACGTAGGGATGCACAGCGAAGACAGTTAGACTGATCCACAGATGAGCGATGTGTCTAATCATGATGACAGTAGAAGCTGCATGTATGGGCTTATAATCAGAAATTAGTACAAGCTCCCGGATCGCTGAGACCACGAATAATCGAGGACTCAGAGGACGATGACTTGATCAGTCGTGAGCTGGTGCAGACGCGATGGAGAGGATACATAAGTTAGCCAAAGCCAGCCGAATGAAGTCAAATGCTCCACATGTTTAGGTTAATAATTAAATATTGTTCGATGGAAAAAGAAAAAATAGCCCGTGCGTCATGCGTCATCATTGCTTATTGAATTACCGACTGCTGCATCTAACCAAAGTTCACTACAGCCGACCATGCTCAGTCGTGGTGTATAGTACCTATTTGATCGTAGGATGTAGATCCCCGCCGCGCTAATGCCGACCACCATGGCCAGTCCGACGGCCAGTACCGAGATGACCAGTGGACCGGGCCTCCAGCCGGCCGCCCCCTGACGACCTCCCAGCGCCAGCAGCGCCTCTAGCGTCCGGTTCACCGAAACATCTGCCGGCACAGGTGGCGCTGAAGCTGAGGATGGTGGCCGTGCGGTGGCCGCGGACGAAAACGGCGATTAGGGCACAGTTCGCTATTCGAGATTGAGAACAAGTCTCCATGGACATAAGCGTTGCCAACAACGTTACATAATCTTGTAGACCACAATGCACACATTGTGTACCAAAGAAATTAGACACTTGATTCACGGTATGTCAAATATGAGACGTTCTCCTCGCCGTTTTTAGACGTGAATAAGACGTTCGGTCCAGCATAGGTCGTCGAGGATGTTTTAAGTGTAGGCACACGTATCCTCGAAAGCAAACTTCTCTATAGCAGGTTTCGCTTCGTAAGAGTTTGCATAACCGAAGCATCTGCTGTACACTATTCACCCCCGTCAGTTTCGTTACCGTGTTTGGCGCCGCTGGTCCGCCGCTGCTCGTGCTGCTCGTGTCTCCTGGTCCCTCCGGGGCCACGGCCGCGGCCAGACGCCAGCGACACCTGTTTGTTACAGAGCGGGGTACCGCAGCAGATGGAGCTGGCCCGGTAGTCCTCCCCGTGGGTCGGCAGCAGGTGGTCACACATTAGAGGCGTCTCGCCCCTGGGAATATAACACGGGTCACGAGTCAGAGGTCAGAGGTCGCAGCCAGAGATCACGAGTCATGACTTACCGGGTCTTAGATGAGAGATCACGTGTTAGACGTCTAATATCACAGATTCCACGTTGCAATTAATGTTTAAGATGCCATTGGCGCAGCTCAGCCCCAAAGCCGTTTGCAACGTTGAAGCTTAAAGGGCACCTTCGCGGGCTTCAAGCCTTTCTAATTTTTTCTCGCGAATATCACATGAATACTTAGTTGGTGGGTAGGTACCACAGCACAAGTACAAATTACTTGGGATAGGGACTGAGCTTTCCAAAGCGGACTTACTGCAACAAGACATAGCTCTCGATCCCTCATTTACATAATTCCCCTAGTACTGACCCGGCTGAGATGGCCAAAAACCACCCCACTGACCTGACACAGCCTCTGGTCATGGGGTCGGCGCCGTCGAGCCGCCTTAGCTGTTGGGTGTAGCACATGCCGGTGGTGGTACAGGTGCTCACGCCCGCCTGCTGACACTCCAGCGTGGTGCAGATACAGACGATACTGCGGCTCACATCGCCTGGAGGCAGGGGCGGGACAGGTCACATAGAGGTCATTGTGATAAGGTACGGTAAAAGAGAGTCACGTGGACAGGGCAAGGGGTAGTGCTGACAGGTCACAGCGGAGTCACGGCGGTCGGCTAGCGGGAGTCACATAGAAAGGTCAGACCGAAAGTCATATCGAAAGGTCACCGAGTGTCAGTAAGCCAGGTCACAGTGACAGGTCATTGGGCCACCGAGGTCAGATGAACTGTCATCGAGGGTCATTGACGTTTAACTGGTTCAAGACAGGCCATCGGGAGATCACGACATGCCACCAATAATTATGTCGATAGGTGAACAAGGAACATGCATATATGCTGCTATAGATCAACTTGGACTGACAGGGCAGATGGGGAGGGCCCAACAGTCAAGTGAACGGAGGGGGGGGGGGAGCTGGCACATAAAGTGATAGGCTTATACAAAAGAAGAGTGTGGGGAAGGATATTCCTTGCGGATCGATGCACCACGGGGTCCATGGTATTTTAAAGGGAAATTAATTAAGATTGTAGACAACATTATCTTCAGGCTTCATGAGAAAAATCTTCTCATCTCGACTAGAATATGTATTTCTAAAGTTCAGAAAGCGGTCTGATGTGAAATAATGTACCAAGATGCATATGGACCTAACATTGATCGGGGATCCACCACCACGCCAAGCCCGTCAGCCCTCGTTCGTTCCTGCAATGTAACTATAATTACACTACACATTGTTTGTGCAAACCCCATAAGAAGGAGAGCCTGAGCAGGCATGCATTCTGCTAGATGTGAATTAGATCCTTACGCTGGATCCGGGGATTACATTTTCATGCCAGCTAAGCACTGCTAATAAGTTGTAAAGAGCTTTCGGCTGACGCTTGTCCATCATTATTTGCCGATTATAGCTTTTTTCCTTATACAGCACCAGCGCGAGTGAGCATCCAGTGTGAGAACAGTTTATACAGTTTATATAGGATGTCGGGTACCCCGTCCCAATTTCTCGATTTCAACAGTGTGTGACTAGTCACAGTCAGCGAATAAAAATATGCGAGTTTTATAGGCTAGACTGCTAAAGGAATTACGTTTCATGACGTTTCTGATTAACATAGTGCCCAATTTTAATGACATGTCATGTCAATTTGACGTTTAATATTGAACGTTAGCGCTAATCCGGGCAGATGTGTACAATGCATAAAAATAGATAGGTAGGGGAGACCCGGGAGGTATGGGCCGGTTTTGTGAAACGGTAATTTTCTTCCAGTGAGTAGTGTCTAGACCCGGTTTTTCACTCTGTGTAGGTACGTGAAATTGTCTTCCACCAGCAAAATGTGCCTGATATTAGGCATCTGGGATCAACTATTTTGTCTCGAGATAGCTTTCAATAAATCATGCGCCTTTTCGATCCAGCAAAATACACCGGGAGGTATGGACCATGGGCCGGGACGTATGGGCCGGTGTCATGTTTCATATTCTTTTTTCGACATTGAGAACAATACTCTTAGCTGGGATCTAACTTGAGCTCTCTTAGAGCCCAGGCACCGCATAATAGGCCAACAGCTTACTTCATGGAGGCCACTTGGGCACCTATTTATAATGGGTAACTCAATCCGGTTCCATGAAATAAATAAGACAAACAATATTTGTATGTTCAAATGCAGTCTGTAGTTAAATTTTCGGCCATGTGCGACAAAAACAATTGTTATTGAAGAGGACATTCAAAGAAAGCATCATTTTATTGATTTAGGATCAATGGAGGCGGGTGGCCCGAACCTCCCGGTTAGGACGTCAGAATGCGCGTAGCATCTCAGCTCATAATCTTGCGAGGAAGCTTCAAATTGTCTATCCAGTCTTAATAAGCATGCTTTACACTTTTTGCTAGCGATGGTCTGACATAATAAATCGATCCTGGTTCACATTGATCGCGAATTTACTTTATGTTTCGTATTTTATTCGAAGAGGGCAAAAACGCTTTATCACCGCTCATTGCCAAAAAAGACTGAGGAAGATTTTGGAAATCACATAGGTTGCATAACGAAATGGCTGCTATCAGTTTACGTGGTCAAATGTGTAAAAATACGCAACACTTCTTCAAAACTGCGATGGCCCATACCTCCCGGGTCTCCCCTACTTACCCACTCGGAGCGTTAGGGTCGCTGACTATTCAACTGTTCTTCGGCGAGTGTGAATAGATAAGAATTATGAGTGACAAACATCAGTATGTTTTTGTTTGCATGCATCATAGAACTCTTGGTGTATAGAAGTCTCATTTCATTAAAACTGTACATGCATAAGGTCGTGTATCTACCAATAAGGGCTACCGGCGCCGTCGTTACATGTCCTCGCGTCGACCCCCAACGGGACTTGTACTAAATCTCGTTTGCCCCTGAATGCCGCGTGCCCATGAATGGTGGTCACATCTCTGCACAGTCCCGGTTTCATCAATAGCCCGACCTTGCCCAGTTCGAATGTCTGACCGGTATTTCTGTTTAATTGCTCTCGCGGAGCCGGGAAAGTTCACCCGCACTTGTGCCCACGCCGCGGTCGGCAGGGCTGACCGGAGGGTGACCTCGCCAGGACTGGTGGCCTTAGATGTCCCAACTGGGATACAGGACACTCTATACGGGGACCACGCCGAGGACAGGGGACCGACTATAAAACGGCCGACCGGCGTCAGATAGGCACAGTTCACCGCTGACTACCATCTCAACAACAACATGAAGCTGGTGAGTGAAGAGACGGAGGCACCAGCAGCACTCAGCGACGGCATGGCTAGCACCACGCTAAGGATATTGCCAAGCTGTTTGAATCAATAGTTGTTTCACAGTCACGGAGTTGCTGGACAAAGCTTCCGGCAATATTTTATTTTAAATTTGTTTATAATTTAGGTGCACACCTAGCCGTCTTTTTAACTGCACTGTCAACAAAATAATTAAATGAATTAAATAACTAAGATAAATTACTATTTACATGATACATAAACTTTCGACCCTATACTTGCAAGAGGTCGATGCCGTTGCAGTTTAGACCCTCCGCCATGACGTCTGTTCCGTTTCAGATCGTGTTCGCCGCCGTGCTGGCCGTGGCCGCCGCCGCCCCGTCGGAGCTCCCCTACGAGAGGGACATTGTCGAGATCCTCCGACAGAACATCGACCACAACGACGACCAGTCCTACCAACACTCGTGAGTATCTACACTGGCGACGGTCGGTCGACTGTTCGAACGGCAGTCAATTGTTCGAAAAGTGGTCGGCTTCTGTAATTGTTCTTACGTCGCAATACTCGAGATCAATCGTCAAGGAAGTTTCAAAGAGCATTTGAAGCCCAGCTTGGTATTCTATTTGTTGTGCCTTGCTTAGATCTTAGGGAAAGTAAAGTGGCTCTAAAAACGAGAAACATCTTTTGTTCAACAAAAAGACATTTGTAGTTTACATGTTTGTGAGAACCACCAAATCCTCATTTATGACAGTGTCTTCAGTGTTTTCTCTAACCCAACGCCCGCCTCTGTCCGCCAGTTTCGAGAGTGAGAACGGCATCTCTGTGTCGGAGTCTGGCGAGCCGGAGGACGACGACAGCTACAGCGTGTCGGGCCAGTTCAGCTACACGGCCCCCGACGGCGTCACCTACACGGTGGTGTACTCGGCCGGCGAGCAGGGCTTCCAGGCGCAGGGCGACCACCTGCCCACCCCGGTGCCCACCCAGTACCCCACCCCGGAGGTGTCTGAGGAAGAGGATGAGGAGGAGGAGGAGGAAGAGGATGATGATGAGGAGGAGGTCCGTGGGGAGCCCCAGTACGAGCGTGTCATCGTCGGATACAGGCCCCGCTACCAGTAGACCATTCGAAATGAGGCTGAACCCTATTAAGTGCCGATGAATATACTTCTCTATTTTTAGAGAAGTTGATGTTCTCTGATTTGTTCCTTGTGTGAAAGTTTCTCTATGTTCAGAGAGGTATTTATGGTTTAAGCAAGAGACAGTCATGTCTGTTGCTTTATTCATCCTTATTTATTTCTTATTGTCCTGTGATTGACTGTATGTTGTAATAATAAATATTTGTTATCATGATCACATGCCGTGTTTACTTTTGGCCAATTTGGCACGCCATCACCAGCACACGGTGACGGTACTGATCGGACACTCAAAGATCCGTGCGTAAGATCGATGATGCGTCACTCTTGAGTCAACCAGATCATCAATGCGTGTCCATCGGTTGTCTGATTGATCAATGTCTCTGCTAAACTGAGGCTCTCAGGCTAGCCTGTATCACTTGGGACCAACTGGCTTGGCGAGTTAAAACATCCAGTGACAATAACAGGTTAGGTATGCTGATCATTCTACTTATAGGACTTTGAGGTAAAGCACTTGCTACGAGACGACGGTCGCTCTAATTTGGTTAGCATTTCGACTATAGACTGTAGTGTTTTACAGTTATGCGGATAAATGCAATAATAAGCAAAGAAATTAAGTGACCTATGACGTAAGGAAGGAAGGATTTCCTATTAACCTCTGGAATGGCGTACCTCTGAGTTTGTGTAGACGTTGGTATGCAGTTGCAAAGGTGTACTGGCTGCCCATAGTCCAACCGTAAGCTGTTTCACTTGCTTCCAAAATGCCTATCAAAATCGTGTCGATATCGTGCACTGAAATCTTCCTTCTCTGCGCCCACCAAAACATTCACTTCAGTCTACAAGACGTCCCAGTAGGGTCTTGCATGCAGCTGGCACCGCATTCCGGCACCAATCGCCTTCGGTTTCCGTCTCCACGATCTTAATTCGCTCAACCATTTGGCAGTGGATACCGTCCATTGTCCTCCCTCACATGTTTGTTTGAAACTGCACAAGTTATACCGTATAGCTGGTCCTCACCGAGGAACCCGTTTCATGGAAGCTGATAAAGTAGTGAATGGTACAAGGTTAGCATCCTGTTCACAGATGGCACGACTCGTGTATCGCTCGGCACGATCTCCACACTGCAGTCTACTTCACAGGATGGTGGAACGCCTGAGCATGATCCGGTGATTATACAAGGCGATCCTTAGGTCTATTTCTACATAGCTCGGGTGTATGTGAAGTCCACCATTGTCTCCATGCCATAAACGTAGTGTGTGTGTCCATGTCTCACCGTCTTTTCAAATGGTCTCCATCGGTACATTGAACAGCGTGACCAATTCCTATTGACATGTCCTCAGCACTCTGCGCCGAGCTTGCAAGGTGGGGGAGGGAGGAGGCGTCAGGGTGTCGGCTACGGACAGTAAGGATGGCGTGTGCCCGTCTGTATGGAGGCCTTATCTGTACAGAAGATATATTTATTTCGTTTTTCTTACGTTTTTTACATGCATCATTTCAAATAGAATGAGGTTCCTTCCTAATTTATAAGAACGCACGAGCGATTACTGATTAGGTCCATTATTTGCTTTCCATGCAAATGTGTTGGCTCGGCTCTTGTGGACGCGGCTGTATACGAAGCAGCTCAACGGAAAGATAAAGGTTTAAATAAAAAATATCTCAAATCGGAATGCGGCAGTTACGGCAGCTGTATGCTTTTGTTTCTTACCTCTCGAGTCTCGCATACATCCGGTCTGTGCAGATCAGAAAAGAAAATGCAGGTAAGAAATATCGTGCTGACCTAGTATGAGCGAACACAGATTTTGTTATTATACCTACGAACAAACACAAATGTTTGGAGCTGAGGTGTTGCATATTTGGCCGCTGAATGGACGTGCACCATTAGCAATTCATGGTGGAGTGCTTTCCGCATATCTGCTGCAACCTCTGTTATGAAACTTGTCATATGTTTTATTATCGCGAATCCCATTTCAGAAAGAACTTCAATCACTTATGGGATTGGTTAGCGGAGTCGGCATATGATACATGTATGATAATAAAGCAAGAAA